CAGCAGGGCTCTTCTGATGTTCTTATGAAGGCCTCGGCTTCTGTGCCCTGTTGTTGGCCCTCCAGAGGGACTGGTTGGCCACTGTGTGAGACAGGATGCTGGACTAGATGGACCACTGGTCCGATCCAGCAGGGCTCTTCTGATGTTCTTATGAAGGCCTCGGCCTCTCTGTCCTGTTGTTGGCTCTCCAGAGGGACTGGTTGGCCACTGTGTGAGACAGGATGCTGGACTAGATGGACCACTGGTCCGATTCAGCAGGGCTCTTCTGATGTTCTTATGAAGGCCTCGGCTTCTGTGCCCTGTTGTTGGCCCTCCAGAGGGACTGGTTGGCCACTGTGTGAGGCAGGATGCTGGACTAGATGGACCACTGGTCCGATCCAGCAGGGCTCTTCTGATGTTCTTATGAAGGCCTCGGCCTCTGTGCCCTGTTGTTGGACCTCCAGAGGGACTGGTTGGCCACTGTGTGAGACAGGATGCTGGACTAGATGGGCCACTGGTCCGATCCAGCAGGGCTCTTATTATGTTCTTATGAAGGCCTCAGCCTCTCTGTCCTGTTGTTGGCTCTCCAGAGGAACTGGTTGGCCACTGTGTGAGACAGGATGCTGGACTAGATGGACCAGCAGGGCTCTTCTGATGTTCTTACATTCTAAGTTCGAAGATTAATCAGGAAAATCTTGAATGGGGAGAAAACAGCTCTGCGCCACATCTCAAATTAATATGTGGGGGGACAAATACCATGCCCCCCCCCACTTCACCCACACATCCATCATTCCGTACCTATGAATAGAGTGAAAGTCTGGTCTTTCCCTTCCGTTTGTTCTGCTGTTACAGAGGAAAAAAGGAGCTGCGGTGGCTCAAGTGGTTAAGACGCTGAACTGCAGGCTGTGGAAGGTCGGTAGTTCAGCAGTTCGAGACCCGGGTGTGCCGCATGACAGTGATCTCCCGTTGCTAGTTCCAGCTCCTGCCAACCTAGCAGTTAGAAAGCAAGAAATTGCAAGTAGATAAATAGGGACCAATTTTTTGGAAAAAAACAAAAAGGCTTCAGGAAAAAAACGGGGGGAAACTTTTTTTTCCGGATTTTTCCGGGTTTTTTCCAGGCCTTCACATCTCTAGGTCTGTGTCCTTCCCAGACTCCATCCCCAAATCTCCAGGAGTTCCCAAACCTGGATCTGGCAACCCTGTTGATTGGCCAGGGAAGACCTGACATCCGTAAATTTACAGCTGATCTCTGACAGCAGAGATCAGTTCTGGAGAAAATGGCTAATTTGGAGGGTAGATTCTATAACGCTCTATCCTCCTAAGGTCTCCAAACCCTGTCCTCCCCAGGCTGTATACCCCTTCTCCAGGAATCTCCCAACCCAGAGCTGGCGACCCTGAAAGGAGATGGTACAGAGAGAAAGATTCTTCAGCAAAGAGGCAGTAACAGATACGTAACAAACCTGCAGTTATGATTAGTCACTGCATATATATTTTTAAAAGAAAGATTGTTATCTGAGCATCTTCAGAATAGGATGGCACAATGCGGAAGTCCCCAAGGATATCTTATCAAGGAAGGAACAGAGAGATCGGGAGATAGGAGACCATCTCAGCGACGTTCGTCTCCCAGGGTTTCATCTACCTACCAGCCCTGGAACAGAGAGCTCTTTTACCTTCTGTCTTTCTGACTCCATCTCAGTCTGGTGAAGGGATCTTTTATAGCATGACGGGGAAGGGGGTGGGGGCCTCTGCATCGTCCCCAGCTCAAATCCCAACATCCTAGCTTTGTGTATCTGTCCCAGACGGACCCGAACTCCCTGAAATCCAACCAACTGAACGTTCGTACAGTCCGCATTCCGAAATCAGACTCACCTGTTCTGCCAATGCGTTCCCCGATCCACATTATATTTGGTTCCTCAACGGGAAGGAACATAGCAGAACATCTGAACTGCTGATCCGAGATGCTACCCCAGAGGATTCTGGGAGTTATGTCTGCCAAGCGTGGAATGTACTTTCTCGCCACAAGAGCAACGCCTTCTTGGAGATTGAGGTGGCGGGTGAGTAGCCGGAGAGTTAGCCCGGGATAACTGTCTCTTGCCAGTGTGTCCGCCGCATGACCTTTCTGTGGCATTTCTCCAACTGGCACTCCATTTTCTGGTTTTGCCACACTGTCACTTTGGACTGTCTTTCTTGATGAAGCCTTCCATTCACGTGTGACTCTGGATCTTCAAAAATTAGCTTCTTCTCTGTCGTGCTGGGATCCCACCATGCCTTTCTTTCAGTGGCTGATTCGGTTCCATTTTCGTGCACTTTCTCCATCGGGCACTAGTTCCATTTCAGCTTTGCCCTTCCTTGGTCTTCACACGTTTTCCACAAACAAAACCTCCCTCCCTCAGAACTGAAGGCTTATTCCTTAATTCCCCACTTACGATAGCTCAGAATGCGGACAAGCGCACCCAAGCCTAACCTAATAGATCCTGTGCAATAGATCTAAAAAAATAAGCGAGGGGAAGTATTTTGAGACAGGACAACGGAATACGAAATGAGCAGCAGAAATGTGCGAGATCGGTTTAGTGAATTGGGATTGGATAACCAACCTGATTTTTTAAGGCCTTGGGGGATTCCATGAAGTTTCAGTGGGATCCTAGAGCGTTGCCCTGATGCGATTACATCACTTCCAGACTCGTGCAGGAAGTGACATCACACCACTGGAATGACGGCAATTTCCCCCGCTGTTGCGTGGTGTCGGCCGGCAGAAGACCCAGCAGCCCTATGAGGAGAGATGATAAGAGCACAAGATTTCCACCCAGATTAGTCACAGAAAGGTTTTAATGTTTTAGAGAGTGATGAAGTCAGTGCAAAACTGCTCCTCCTCCTTCCCTAGAAATGTATTTGGATAGTTCGATGAACTGTTCATTTCAGGGCCAGGTTGACGCATGTTGAAGCCCCTGAACAATGTCAAGTTTAAGAGGCCCCATAGCATTACGACTCCTACAGTCAGAGGTCATTTCCGGGGGGGAACGCGGGGGATTGCAGTTCCCCTGGGTGAGCTGCGGGGCACATGAAGAAGCCCCGCCCCCTGCTTCCGGCCCTCATTCAGCCAGGAGGAGGCAGGAGAAGAGGGAGGGTAAGTTGCTTCCTCCCTGCCTCTCCCCACCCCTGCCTGCCTGGGGCCAGGGAGGGCCTTCACGGGGCTTCCTTGCACTCCCGCCGGTCTTGCAGGTCCACCGCCGGGCCCCTCATGGGCGGCGGCCGGGCTCTTTTTCTACGAAACGACCCCTGCCTACAGTAATTTAACAATCTGAAGTAATTTGTCAGAGGTCCCTCAACCAGGGGTCCTCAACCTTTGTGACCCTGCGGGCACCTTTAGAATTCTGACGCAGTGTGGTGGGCACTGCCACAAAATGGCTGCCACAAAATGGCTGCCGCAGGAAGTGGAGCCAGCTACACAATGGCTGCTGCAGCTTACCTTCAGTCACATAATGCAGATCTTTGTGCTGTTGAGGCAGTTGCTGGGGTTTCCTTTTTTGGACTGATGGTTCTAATGGTTGGCCACCAAGTTCCATTCCTGATTTTTTTCCCCACTGGTGATCTTTTGCGCCTGTCTGTCTATACCGATCGCCCGATTCTCTCGATATTGGTTCTGTCCTCCTCGGTGTCTTCAAAGGACAATGGCATTGCGTTGCAAACAAACATGGAACTCTTTTGCAATTTTTCTATCCCAACAGGTAGTGTATCTAATGTCACCATCATAGGCCCTTCCGAAGCGATAGAGTACCATGCCGTCCAGTTGAATTGTACCTCTCTAGGTAGTCTCGTTTCTTACTACTGGTTTAAAGGAAACCAGACGGTGGAACCAGGAGATCGTGTCGTTCTGTCAAACCAAAACAAGACCCTCGCGCTCAACTCTAGCAACAGGAACGACACTGGAAGCTACGTCTGCCAAGGGGTCAACAGCTTCTCATCCCAGTTCAGTGAGCCTCACTGGCTGGAAATTTTCTGTAAGTCTAGTCCAGCTATTTTCTCTGAGGAGAAAGCATGCCCTGGCCACATGTTTGTTGTCTTTGCCTTTCTTGTCCATGCTTATCCCATTCTTTGTCCGAGTAACTCAGGGATATAGGGTTCTTGCTTTTTTATTATATTGTCACAACAAAGTTGTGAAGCCTATTTAAGCTAAAAGGAAAGAGTGACTGGCCACCCACCTCTCTATGCCCCTCTCTGTAATGAAATGTGGTGGGTCCGCTAGAACCATCTCCATCCCTAGCTAGTGTTGTCTCCTTCAGAGGATGGGTACCAATGGAAAGGCTAGAGAATGTGTATTAGCTCAGTTCTGACACCCATCCTAAAAGGATAACCAGAGACCTAGCAGTAGGGTGTCATCCTGTTTCCAAAGAAATGTCCACAAGGATTAATGTTTCTTGAGCACTGAATTCCTGAGATTTGTCTCCATGATGTTGTGGCTACACACAGTCAGGACTTAGAAAATGGTTGTCATGAAAGAGCTAAGGGCTGTACCCTTTGACTCTGACAGTGGTTGACGTAGCTCCAACTTCTGCTAGGACAGTAGTCTGGCCTGTTTCAACATGTAGCTTTCCTTTGTTTGCCGCAGACGGGCCTGATAGCCCCGTAATTGACCCCCAAGAGTCAGTCTATAACGAGGGTTCCACCCTCAACCTCTCATGCTTTGCCGACTCCAACCCACTTGCAAACTATTCTTGGTGGTATAACGATACGCTACTGGAAGACCAGAAGGATTCTCATCTTCTGATCCAAGATCTTTCGGTGAGCAGTGCCAGGAATTATACTTGTAACGCCACCAATGACTATACCGATGGCTTCAATACCACCAGCCTTAAGATCACGATCTTGGGTGAGTAACTGAAGTGTTCAGCTGGACTCCCCGGGACAACCTGCCTTCCTGTGTTGCTGATATATTGACTATGGAGACAGCATGTTCTATCTCTGAAATCTACCTTTGGTTGGCCTGAATCTGTCCTGTTGCCATTTTGGTTTTCTGTCTTCTTGGGAGGTATTCTTTTCCCGACCCACGCGTGGGTGATCGTGATTGGACCGCCTGTCATTTTCAGTTTGCGAATTCTTCCCAAGATGGACTTTATGTTTGGATTTTTCCTACTCTGGTATCTCAGTGTCCCGGCACCCAGTGGCCTGTTCCTCTTTTTTATCTGCTTTGATTCTGGTTCCGAAGCCGTGATTCTCGGTAGGCATCAGTCAGCCGCTAAACATGTTGCCTTTCCACCGATTCCATCGACTCGCTTCAGCAGGGTATTCCTTTTGCCTGACTGTCTCTATATTCGGTTTTTAAAAAATAACAATACAATCACTTCAGTTCCTGGTGTACGACGAAGTTTCTGTTCTTCGGGTCAAATTTAGTTGTTCTGTCTTGCCTAGCTCAACCATTGTTATGAAGTTCTGTCTCTTCTGGACTTGAAGGGTACACTATTGTTTCCTGCCAATCTGGAATAATCAGCGCACATTGTGTGCAAGTTCCTGGCGTTTGGTTCTCCTTTGTATGTCTTCCTTCAGCGAACACTTTCCTTTTAGAGCCGTGATGGTCATCGTGTGCTTCAAGTCGGTTGGCCCCTGGGTGAGAAACTGTGTCCAGCCAGTTGACATGCACTTGAGCAAAATCAGCGCCTGGATTCTCTTTCCTTCCACTTGCTTGTTTGCGTCGCTATGGCTTCCTTCTGGTTTTTATCCTGAACATCTCTGTCCTCTGTGGATGAGCTACTCTGTCCCAAAACTTCTTCACTGCTTTACACCGAATCTAGAGATAAAATCTATTCAGGGAGGAGCAAACGCTGTTATTTCTTTCCCTGTCGCCGGAGTCTCCATTACAACCATCGGCTCTGTCTTCCGTGATGAATGAACTACTAGTGGAACAGTTTATGGACCAGCAGCTGTCTTCCTTGATTTTTCATCATCATCATCATCATTTCCATGTCCTTCCCCGTTATCCAGCTCCACTTTATCTTTCATCCCCCCCCGCTGAACATCTGCCTTACACCAAACAAATTTGTTTATCTCAGTGGGTGTGACGATCTATTACGATGAAGACTTCTACTCCGGCCCTTCCTGTTCATCCATTCCTGAAAGATTTAAAGTTTAGCAAGGTCCCGAATGAACGGCGTTTCACTCTCCTCAGCGAGGGGACCGCAACAGCTGCTTCTCAAATGGCAGCGGGAGATTGGGACATGGAAGCCAAGAGCGAACTAACCAGCAGCCACAACTTATCCTTTCTTTTTAATCTCCGATAACACCCCTCCCTCCCCCACCGCCTTCCCCTCTTTTCTCTCTCTGCAGAACGAGTGTCTAATGTCATCATCACCAGTCGCCCTGAAAAGGCCATTGAAAATAAGGTCCTCGTTCTTGACTGCAGTTCTGCAGGCAGCGATGTTTCCTACACCTGGTCAAAAGGGGACCAGGTACTGGGTAATGGCAGCCTCATGTTCAGCCCAGTCAGACGGAATGACACAGGCAACTATACCTGCACTGGACGTAACAGTTTCTCCAACTCCAGCGCCACCTACCTGCTGGATGTCTTGTGTAAGTTTCGCTTTATCACTGAGGGAGGGTTAAAAATATCCTGGGAGCACAACATATGTGGAATAGATTCAAGCCCTGGAGAGTGCAGGCTTATAACTTAGGGATATACTTAGCTTTTCAAAGACCAATAATATAGATATACACAAGGGGGGGGGCAGCTGCCTTGAACTCTGTAGAAAGAACGGTGGCTAACAAATACTTTTTATTTATTTAATTAATTAAAAATAGAAGACCCTCTTCTTTTGTGGAGTCACCCCTCCCAAATAAACAGCTATCTGTTTCTGCTTTTTAAACCACAAAAAACCAAACCCCCCACACCTATTTTATATTTTTAAAAATGAAGAATCATCATTCTTATATAAGTCACACCAATTATTAGCAGCAATGAACAAACATTAAGCTTGTATCTTATAAATGCGTTAATCACTACTTTCAAATATCAGCACTTAAAAGCCGCTCTGATTAGAATATCCGTCATAAAACCTGGTTCCAGTTTTAATACCCAAATTTTATCAATCCCCCCCCCCCGCTATCTCTAAGTCCTGATAGGTGTTTGGAAACGTGATTGTGGTACTGCATGCCTCTGAATCTTTTTAGCCGGTCATTTAAACTGAAACCTCATTGTCTTTCCATATGGCCAGTTCCTTTCTAGTACCTGTGGTAAAAGTTGTTGACCGATTTATTAGATGGTTAAAGCCAACGACATCTTCTGTGTATCCCAATCCCAGTAGAAATTCTAGTATTAAATATAAAATTGCCGTTGTAAGAGACACTGCCATCTTCCTCTGAATAGCTTGGATTTTTCCTTGCCTCCTATATTCATGTCAGTAGAGACAGAACGTCACCAAGAAACATCTGTGTTTTCCTGTATTAAGTTTGCTGATTTCCTGTTTCTGGGGGAACACACCAGAATGGAGTTCCAGAACCTCTTTGACAAAATTCTTCTAAAAAATGTTTAAAAGTTGATGATTTTTCAGTATAGGGATTGAAAACTTTGTTTCCGAGAGTTCCGGCACCTCTTTTTCCCCAAAAAAGAAAAAGCCCTGCTTCTAACTAGTTTGAAACTAGTCACGGCTTCCTTCGCCGAACCTGACTCTTGTAGTTCAGGGAGGATTTGTTCTTGCCGATCCACTTTGTTTATCCAAACACTGGGTTTCCTGGGAATAAAAACAGATTTGAAATTTGGAGTGCAGACACGCCCTAAGTAATGCGGAGGGGAGTGGCTTAAAATCTCTCTAGAGACTTCCGTGTGAAATTCTGCTCCCTTTGAGGTCAAGAGAGGAGGAGTCCAGTGCAGTGTTCCCTCTAAGTTGAGTTAGTGTGAGCTAGCTCACAGTTTTTTAAGCCTCCAGCTCACACATTTTTGTCTTAGCCCAGGAAGGAGGGCTCCAGAGCAAACTAATTTACGCAGTAGCCAAACTGCTTGCTCACAACTTTGATGCCAGCGGCTCACGAAGTAGAACTTTTGCTCATGAGTTGTCTGTGCTATTTGGTGGAAGATGGCTAGAAGTCTCAAACCACCACCCCCAGCCCGAAATCATATGCCTTCCCCCAACATATGACTCTCCTGTATTTGCTCCAGATGGGCCTGATGAGCCGGTAATCAGCCCCCCAAGGCACGATTACGGAGAGGGATCCCTCCTCACCCTCTTCTGCCACGCTGACTCGCACCCTCCAGCACAGTACACTTGGTCCTTTAACGAGACTGAATTTACCGAGACGGGCCCCCAGCTTACGATACCTAGTCTGTCCTTCAACCAGACTGGGGATTACACCTGCAGTGCTTTCAACCCTGAGACCAACCTTTCCAGCTCTACAAGTTGGGAGATCAAGGTGCTTGGTGAGTATCCGCAGGATGGATCCTGCAAGATCCCTGCCACCGGGGCTGCTGCGTGCCAAAGATGTGTGTGTTGGGAGAGGGACCAAACAGTGGAGGGGAATGTTCTTGGAGGCGACTGGTCGGGTAGTTTATTAGTATGGCCATTGACCCATCCGGACAGGAACATGGCTGTGTTGCGTTCCTTGCTGACAGTAGGATCGGGGAAATTAGGCATGGTTAGTGATGGCCACAAGCACGAACAGCTTTAAAGGGGGATCAGACAGATTCATGGAAGGTAGGCCTATCTGTGGCTACCAGCCATGGTGACCAAGGGCGTAGCCGGAAAATTTGGGTTGGTGGCGCATGGGGGAAACTGGGGGGTGCCCTGGCCGCACCTGCTGCTCCTCTTGCAGCAACAGAAGAGGCGGCTCCCGGCTCCACTGCGAACTGTAGTCCTCCTCTAGTCCTTTCGATTGGAGAGACTTGATTCCAGGCTGCTTTCCTGTGTAAGCCAGGGAGGGGGGGGGAATCTCCGACTCTGTCTTTTGCATTTTGCAATTTTATTTTATTGCCGTTCTTAAAAACGTATTTATTTTTCGCCCCAGAAAAAAAGAAAAATGAACTGAAGCTTCCCTGACCGTGCCCGGAGTCATTTTGGAAACTCCACATGCATCTTAGATTTTTTTAAAAAATTGTTAATCTTTTAGGACATTTTTGGATTTTTTTTGTTTCTGGGGCAGCACTCCGCTATGGGGGCATTGCCCCCAAATGTCCCCCTCCCGTGGCCACTGGCCTGATAGTGACTAAAGGGAACCTCTGTGTTCAGAGGCGGTCAGCCACTGAATACCAGTGCCAGGAGGCAACAAAAAGAGAAGGCCTCAGCCTTTATGCCCAACTGGCTGTCCACTGTGCAAGACAGGATGCTGGACTAGATGGACCACTGGTCTGATCCAGCAGGGCTCTTCTGATGTTCTTATGAAGGCCTCGGCCTCTGTGCCCTGTTGTTGGCCCTCCGGAGGAACTGGCTGGCCACTGTGTGAGACAGGAGGCTGGACTAGAGGGACCACTGGTCTGACCCAGCAGGGCTCTTCTTAGGTTCTTATGAAGGCCTCGGCCCTTTGTTGAAGATGACAGAGCTGTTAGAACACATCCCAGCTCTTGAGCCCTTAGACCGCACAGGGAGAGACACTGGTATGGATTTAGAATGAGGCCTTCAGCTCTCCCAGCTTTACGATCCGAGAGCTCCCGCCGAGTATCCTGGGCCCGCTGGTGATTCTTTCTGGAGCTCAATAGAAAGGAGACACAAGAAAGCCAAGCAGAATTTGACTGTGTGGCTTTGCCGTTGATTAAACTGGGGCGCCTTGCCCGCAGAGAGTCGGACCCGTGTTTAAATGAACACGCCACTCACACATAACGTCATATGGGTACATTTTTCCTCACCTGCTTGCCCACGAGTTGTCTGTGCTATTGACCATTGTGGAAACCTCACCTTATATCTGCACTGACTCTCCTCAGCCCTGTCCCCTGTGCCTCTCAGTTATTGTAGGGATTGAACGTTTAATCCAGAGACATTCCCCTATATTTAACAGAGAACTGTTAGTGTGAGGACTGGCCCTAAGATCAAATGACCTTTTATCTAGGACAAAGGTTGAGACACTTGTTCTTATCGCTGTTCATATTAATAGAGTTGGGTGGGCCAAGGATATCCTGATTGTAACAAATGAAATGAAAAGGAATATTCTGGCCTCTCCTACCATTTTGGCCCTGTTCATCTAGGGCAGAGGTCCCCAGCGTAGTGTCTGTGGGTCCCACGGCACCTCCCGACAACTTTCTGGGCCCCATCAAGTGTTTTTAGAAAGTGGGTGGGGCCAGATGAGGCGTTTACTCAGCAGGGCTTCTGATTGGCCGTTGGAAATCTGTTGAAGAGTTACTACTCCCTGACATTGGTTGGCTCCGCCTCCCATGACAGCCATTTTGTACTTGGACCGACCTCCTGCAGCGGCCATTTTGTGGTTGCAGAATTCCAACCACAAAATGTGGTGTCAGAATTCCAGAGGTTGCCCACAGGCTCAAAAAGGTTGGGGACCCCAATCTAGAGCATAATCCAATTCACATTCATTCAGGAGCATGATTTCTGGCGGGTCAAAGCCACGAAGAAATGCGTAACCCATGTGTACCATTAGGGTGCTGTCACGGCCAACCAATCAGTGACAAGTGTTCCTTACACGAATGCTTTGGACCATGCGACTTTTGCTGTGGGAATCCAAGGAAGCAAAAAAAAGGGGAAGAAATCCTACAAACTAGCTTTTAAAGAAACCTGCTTTCCCACACCGACCCTTTTCTCACACTTGTGGTCTCCCTGTCGAGAACGGGATGTCTCTTGCTGTTCAATTAGGCCTCATGAGGAAGTTTTTTTCCCCCCCACTCTGCAAAAACTACAGGCAGAAGTGTTTCTGTTCTCACAGCAAATATGTACTTATGGTGAATATCTTTATACCTGTCCTTTTTACTGTCTCCACGGGCTCTTCCGTAAGTCCCCAGCTTTCGTCTGACATCAACAACTGCCATTCAGTTTTCAGTCCTTGGGCATTTGTGTCATTTTCTGTCCACTCAGCAACTCTTTGTTTCTTATTGGCATTCCTCTTCCAATGTTAATTACTGGGTGCCCTGCACAGCCCCCCCCCCCGGCAATAGTGCATGGCTCCAAGTAAGAATCATCTATGGGGTATATCTTCTATGGTACTGCATTGTGTCGGCAATCTCTTTGTATGGCTTCTGTTCATTTTCTTCCCTGGAGCATCTTCTTACATCCTCAGAATCTTGATTATTTAGACCACCCTTTCTAAGCTTTGGTGTTCACAGACTCTTATTTCACTGTCTTCTCTTCAGGACACTTACAGTTTCTTTCCAGGATTCACCCAAAATGAAAGAGAAAAAAAATCTGTCTTCTCCATGAAATTTACCTGTCAAGAACTCAAACACTTTTCGCTCAAAGCTTCATTCTTTAGTTTATAAGTCCCTCCGTTCTTTTCTGTCGGTGCGAACAAGTTACGTGTAACATGATCTCTCAGCTTCCAGAAAGTTCCAAGGGAACCAGAGTCCTTGAGGCAAGGTGCCTTCCCAAACTAATCTGCCATATTGCCTCTTGATAATTTCTCCCCTCCCCTCTCCGACTCTTCTTGAGGCCACATCTCTTTCTCGGGCCCCAGTCGTGAAAACCTCACGCTGAGCCCAGTCGGTCGGTTTGACACAGGTTTTTACACCTGCCATGGGAACAACAGCGTCAGCGAAGACTCCAGTGAAGCCTTTCATCTGGAGGTATTTTGTAAGTGCAGCTCTGGTTTTACTTCCTTAACCCTTCTCGGTGTTTCTTTGACTGTTTACGCCTGCCAGCATCCCCAGTACTCAGTATCTTTCCTAAAATAGCCATGTTCCTAGAACCGGTTTTGATGGTTGAATGGATCCCGTCTGGAAGAGAACGCTTCCATCTTTCATGCTAGTTCTTTTCACCTACAGCCACCTCTTGTGGCTGTGGAGAGATACTGGGTGTTGGAGGAAGCAGGCCACGTTTGTGATGCTCCCTGGTCTTTCCCAACTTGTGACTCTCCTCTGTTTGCTCCAGACGGGCCAGATGACCCCATCATCCTCAGCCTCACGGAGCACGATTATGTAGAGGGCTCTGACCTCAACATCTCCTGCCGTGCTGACTCCAACCCGGTTGCTAACTACACTTGGTTCTTTAATGGAACTGAAGAAGTCGGGAACCGCTCCCAGCTCTTCATCCCTGACTTGTCTTTTGACAAGGCTGGGGATTATACCTGCGATGCGACTAATGCCGAGACTAACATCTCCAAAGCCGTAGTGTGGGAGGTCCGAGTGCACGGTAAGTATCAGCAGGGTTGCTAACATGGCGCCATTGCTGAGCGTCGAAGACCCATTAGCTTTGGCAGAGTGAGGCTGGATTGTCCAAGTAGGTGAAGTACCCAGTAACGTAAGGTTTATGAGGCACACCAAACTAAAACTGCAATGTATTCCCTTTTGCTTGCAAATCGGGAACAGAGTACTCACAGGTTCACGCAGGAGAGACAGGTGTGTTCCAAACAACATCCCTTTATTTGCAGGGACATACAGGGATGGGAACTGGGTTCGGGATACAGGAGCTCCTGCAAGTCTACGGTTCTAGCTAACAAACAGAACTAACTGAGCAGGGACTTCCACCCCCTGAGACTAAACCAACACACATAAATACCAGAGTGGGATAAGCAGACCGTTCCATTGTGACACATACAATAAATACACCACATGAAGAGAAGAGTAGTGGGACCTTAAGGACTATGAACATTTATGTCAACACCAGCTTTTGTGAGTCAGAGATGCGTTTGAGGAAGTGATCTCTGACTCACGGAAACTTGTGCCGAAACAAATTTTGTTATGTCTTTAAGGTGCCGCTGGACCTCTAATTCTTCTGCGGCTGCCCCTCTGGAATTATTTTCAAAGGGGTAACGGAACACATTTCAGAGTAGGTTGGGGAAATAAGACGAGTAAGAGCATAAAACGAGTGAGCTGCCGTCCAGTCAAAATGATTTCTGATTTGTCAGAACTACGACAGGCCTTACGCAGGCCCCAAGCACCAAGAGGGAGCTACCTGCGCTTAGCCACTCCTGCAGGAAGGGGTGTGACAGAAACGCCTCAGACACTGTCATTTTCTGTGTGGAAAATCCCAGGAAGTGGGGTGACAAAAAATGAAGCCCGACCCTACATAAATAGTTCTTCACCCTCTTCTCACATCAACTCTTCCCTCACAAATAGTTGTCTGTCTTGCCTCCATCGTTTTCTGTCCACCGGATCCTTTTATGTTTCCCCGATCTAGAATCGATGCCGATTGTGTCAACTTTCCGCTTGGTTGTGTGTGCGTGCTGTTAGTGATATCGCTATGCTCGGCCTCAGTAAATCACTTTTCCCCTCAGTGGTTTCTTACTCTCTGACACTACATCTTTCCTCGCAGCCACCGCCTGTATAAC